GCATGGTCAGCTTCTTGGGGTGTCACTTTCCCCATCTGTCAACGACTATGCAGCCTCTAACTCAACTTCTAGAAAAGCAGACGCATGGACCTGGGGACCGTCACAAATGGAAGCTGTCGCCAAGATCAACGAATTGATCACATCAGCGCCAACCTATACACTATTGTGAAGACTGCCCTCCACTGAACACCCGAAGGACGTCGCAAAAGAGGCAGACCCAAAGTGACCTGGAGACGCACCGTCGAGTATGAAATGAAGTCCTGGAATCATTCCTGGGGAACGCTGACCAAGACGGCCCAAAACAGACAGAGCTGGAGATCCATTGTTGCTGCCCTAAACGCCAGATGGGTAAGTAAGTAAGTAAGCAAGCAAGCAAACAAGCAAGCAAGCAAGCAAGCAAGCAAGCAAGCAAGCAAGCAAGCAAGCAAGCAAGTAAGTAAGTAAGTAAGTAAGTAAGTAAGTAAGTAAGTAAGTAAGTAAGTAAGTAAGTAAGTAAGTAAGTAAGTAAGTAAGTAAGTAAGTAAGTAAGTAAGTAAGTAAGCAAGCGCCAACCTTGGTCTTTTTTTACCCATTAAAATCACACACAGTGAGCTCAGATGCCAATAGCTAGGAGCTCAGAGGTGTACTCCTACAGCAACAAGACGACGACTCAGTGCGACCAGTGGCATACTGCTCCAGAACACTGTCCACATGCAGACGTCGCTATGCGCAAATAGAGAAGGAATGCCTAGCAGCTGTCTGGGCTGGCGAGCGATTTGATCGTTACTTCATTGGACTGACAACATTTATCCTTGAGACAGATCACAAGCCACTTGTGCCCCTGATAAACACAATGATTTACAGGACGCCCCACTCCATTGCCAGCGTATGTTGATGCGATTGGCACGCTTTAACATACAAGCCCAATACACTCAGGGAAAGAACATGCAGACATGTTGTCCAGAAATCCACTACGCTATGTAGATCAGCTGCGGCACTATGAAACAGCCAGCCAGCTACACGAGCATGTCACTGAACGATTGAATGCTGTCACTTCATCATGGCCTGCGTCAGACTCCTATCTGGATATAATCAGAGCAGAGACGTATGTCTGCGAAGACGTATGTCCGCAAGCAACACTGGAATACACCATGACCCGGTGGCCAGCTTACAAAGAAGATGTTAAGCTAGCAGGAAAGTTTCTTTTTTCCCTTTCGTAGTGAACAAAGTGTCCACGATCGGATACTTATCAAGGGAGACAGGCTGGTGATCCCTGAGTCTATGCAGAAAGAAGTCTTAGACAAGATTCATGAGGGTCAAATGGGCACCAATAAGTGTAGCGAGAGGGCTAACCAATCTGTGTGGTGGCCTTACATTAGTCAGGACATTAAAGATAAAGTTGCCAAATGTCGTTTCTGTCTGGAAAAACAGCCTACTCAGCGAAAAGAGCCACTCTTACCATCATCGCTTCCTGAGCGCCCTTTTCAGAGAAAAGCGGTCGAGATCTGTGAATTCAAGAATGCGCATTTCTTGATTTCATTCGACTACTACTGTCACATACGTTGATATTGCACATTAAACAAGGTTCACTCCTATGACTGTAATCAACAAAATGAAAAAAATATTTTCTCAGGATGGGGTGCCAGAGACAGAAGTTTCAGACAATGGGACACTTCCTCAGAATTTCAGTCATTCGCTGTTGACTAGAATTTCATCCACGTGACTACCAGCCCTCGCTACCCTCAAGCCAACGGGGTGGCGCAGAGAAAGCTGTCTACAACGCCAAGGACATCATGAAGCAGGACGATGTCTTCAAAGCATTACTCTGGTATCGCTCAACGCTTAGTCCCGCCGAGCTAGCATTCGTCAGGTGTCTTTGCTCCAAGCTGCCGATACTACCACGTTTGCTGAAACCTCACACAATCGCCAAAGCTGTCCTGCAAGATCAACGCGAGCATGCATTCAAGGCACGACACAAGGGCAACTACGACCGTCACCATGGTGTCCAGCCATTGTCTGCCCTGTGTCCTGCTGACCCGGACTTGGTCAAGTTGGACGGGGAGAAGGGGTGGAGACAGCAAGCAGAAGTGGCGGAACCATGCACACAATGCTCCTAAGGTGTCAGAACACCTGACGGAGGAGAGCTAAGACGTAATCGGCATCACCTACGGCTGTCTTCAACAGACAACGAACAGTCCATACCAGTCAACACGGATCCGGCAACACCACTGTCCTCTACTACAGAACAATCTACTGCTAGCTGTCATTCTCCAAAGCCAAATCAATCATCATCACCCACAGCTAACTGTCATCCTTCAAGGCCAATCCAACCACCATCTTCCCCTGGTCAACCTTCCCGCCTGTATACCAGAAGCGGCAGGAAAGTTATCATTCCAGCCCGGTTCCAGAATGATTAGGATAATGTCGACGTCAATAGTTGAATGATTCAAATATTCTGGAGCATATTTGTGTATGGCCTGTCACCAAAAAGCAACAGTGTAGTTAGGTTATCCTTTTCGGTTACGAACCAACAATCATTGCGATGACTGTGATTTGTTGGGTTAGCATTTGATAGAGAGCAGCAGATTGCTCTGTAGTTTGTGTTTATGGCCTGTTCAGATGAGCAACAGTGTAAATAGTTAGGCTATATCGTCTGTTTTTAAGTAACCGTGTAGCCTGGTCACATATAATATATTATAGTGATAAGGACATTATTAAGTTTATGCTGAGACAAGCAAACTGTCCTTGGATCTTGTTTTGAAACTATGATTTTTAAATCTTGGACTATCACAAGCTGATGATTCCCTTTTTGGATTATTAATTAAATGTAGAAATCCTCTTGTGGACTATTAATTATGTTTAAGTTTAGCAATTTGAAGTGTTGCTATGCTAGCTTAAGCCTATATATCCCAGTGAACATTTATTTGTATCACAATGGATTGTGAAAGATGTTAATCACAAAATAGCAATATATCAGTTGATTGAATAACTGAAGTCAAAATATACCAATAGTAGAAGAGAGGAAAGTTTATTATTTGGCTGAGTTGGCCATTTTCAGTTCAATCTCGTCCTTATCTCAGATGGCATACACTGCTCACTTGGCTGTGTAACATAAATAATGCAACAAACATTTATGAGTTTAGGTAGCATTATGATGATTCTGTATCATGAACAGTCAAAAGTCGGGGGGGGGGGGGGGGGGGGGGGGGGCTACACCTGAATTCTATCTCGCTTGGTAACCGAATGTTACCAAATTTCACACATATAACAAGCATAGTAAGGAGTCTTTAAATCCGCAATCAAATTTTAGAAAAAGTTTTGTTTCCATGGATACGGCGGCCATGTTGGATTTTGTTGACATGTCTCACGTAATGAATACCGCACTTATCGCTCTTGGAAATTAAATGTTTTTTTGCATGCGTGTTCACAAACATTAGATCTAAAAATTTGTCTGTTGTTTTTTTCCTAAACGAATTAGAAAATTTTTAATGAATTTTTTCCTGAGGTAGCATTCAAGTTTTCACAAAATCCGTAAAAATCCACACTCCAGACACCACCAACAAAAATCTATTCCATATATCAAAAATTCAACATACAAACTTTTAGTATTACATCTTCTCTTCATTCTGTGAAAATTTCATGAAGATTTGATGAAAAATGGTGGAGTTATTAAAAAAAGTATAGAGAAAAGTCGCGTTTTGAGAAAACGGCCGGTAAAGAAAAATAAAATACTGACTTTATGAGGAAATGGCGGTGACAAACATGCCCGGTAAGGGGAAAAATACGGTTTTGGGGCTTCTTATGTGATAAAATAGTTGTAGGAAAGGCTGAAGAAGCTAAACATGCCCACAACTCAAATTCCATAATTTTGAGCCGAATTTTGACTTTGGGTGTGTAGCCCCCTCCCCTCTTAAGAGAGTCATTGCACTTGGCATGTGGCGGCGGCTGATCAAAATAGCACCGTGGTGTTGTGTGTCTTGAGTTCATATTAAGGTATCTGTTCTCTATCCGGTTTGATATTGACCATCTACACCTTTACACCTGTCTTAGTGCATCTCCGGTCTTGGAGACGTTTAGATCTGTTGTTTTCTTCTGCACATCGGTGATGCTGATGATCAATAGTGGCTGCTCCGGAAGCTCCCAGGGAAAAGGGATGGCCAGAAGCAGCCGTAAAGGTACTTTTTCCTGGTTGTGCTGGTTTGCTCGACTCAGCGGCCATACCCACTTCTTCGAGCCGAGAATTTTTCATAATGTTGGGGGCAGGAGAAGGATCGATAAAAGGTTGGTTTTCCATATATATATATAAATTGGAGTGTTTAGATCAACTCCGGAGCTCCACACCCACCAAGGCCAAGGAGGGGACACATTGCTTGGTTATCCAGAGTTGTGTCAGGGCTACCCCGGAGTTTACTCTTTAGGAGAATGCACTAGACCCACCCATCAAGACTGACCCAAGGATAGATTGAAGGGGTTTTCAGCTCCCAACCGACGGAGTGGCATGGGCCCTGTCACCCTCCTGTCTAAGTCTAAGAAGAAAACACGAACCAAAGAGGTGTGCTGGTGAGGGACAGTCCACACAGACTGATCCCACCTCAATCACCAGGTACCCAGTATCCACATGGGTCGCACCTCAGGGGTTTAAAAAAAATTCGAATGGAGGCATTTTCATGCCCCCCATTGACACAATTTTGACAACTTAAAGGGTAGGCTTCAACTCTGCTTGCCAGGACCAACCTGTGCTGAGAGGGATACAATGTCTCAGCATAAAGTCCACAATACTCAATATAAATTTCTCCCTGCACAAGAAATCAACTCAGTCATCTGCGTATGACATTGAAACACCAAAACACTACATTAGAGACCCCCGTCCACTGCCATCAGGAATTGTTCATTATTCTATTGTCAAGAGAAAAAAAAAGTACTTACAGCTAAAGCCATACCATTGTTTATTAAATTCAAACAAAATGAACAACCGCATTGGTTGTTCCTATCCTATCACTCTTTAATCTTTTCAAACATACCCATCCTGCTCATTGTCACTTGTTGTCTGACTAGAATTAGCACTGCTGCGTTGACGACGTGCTCGCAACTGAGCAAGAAATTCGGCCTCTTGACGCATCCTCCAGTGAAGGTCATCTCGACCCCAGGAGTTCATGTCCTGATCATCTGTGCCTCCAGATCGTGACATCATTTCATCATCAAACTTGAGCTCTGGAAAAATGTGGGTGTTTTTTAAAACAAAACAGTTCATTGTGAGGATTGGCTTACATGAGAGAAAAGTGGAATGAGGGAATTCAGAATTCTAGGGAAGTAAGCAAAAAGAAACAACTCAGGGTTTTAAGAGATAAGGCCACACACTGGTTCTTGGGATCCAATTTGGGGTCAGACTTTAAAATTATAAGTCAAATTTTCAAAGTTCTATTTTCAAGAGATAGTCAATATCATTGTGCTGAGCCAATATAATGCTTAAAACAATGTTGTGATGTTCATTCATGACTTAAGGGGCTAAAAATTCAAAAACAATTTCAAGTGCAGTATGCAATTTCAAATAAAAAAACGCTAGCCTTTTCTTACATTTGAAAAAAAAAAGTCTTTTTTACTTTATTGACTATTTTCATCATTTGCAAATAGAATGATAATGACAATGACAATCTTTATTCATCTCGCGGAGAGAAATTTTTCTTGGTCGTTTAAAATGGCAGTAGATGTTACAAAGCTTAGGTGCACTCACGCATACCCACAAGACAGGCCATTAGTAAATACATGTTTCATGTGCTGAAACACCCGCTCCGTAAACCTCTCTCTCTCTCTCTCTCTCTCTCTCTCTCTCTCTCTCTCTCTCTCTCTCTCTCTCTCTCTCTCTCTCTCTGTTTCATTTGTAGCACTGTGTGTTCAGTAATCTCACTGCAGTTGGTACGAATGAATGTCTATATCTGTCTGCTCTTGCTCTTTTGGAAATATAGCGTTTACTGCGAGTCGATAATTGAAATTCCGATGTCTGTGGGTGGCTAAGGTTACTTAGCATTATTTCCGCCTTTTTTAAAACGTTTGTTTTTATGCAGATATTCAAAGTTACTCAGGTCTCTACCAATTGTTCTTGATGCCTTTCTGATCAACTTGTTTATTTTTATAAACCCAACTTGCTACCATAGCAAGAACTACCAAAATTTATCAACGTTTCTATTGTGGTGGTGTAAAATATCTGAAGTATGGATGGATTCAAATTGAAAGACCTAAGTTTTACTGAGAAAGTACAGCCTCTGATTTACTTTTTTAACGACATTGTTTACGTGATTTTGCCATGTAAATTTGTTGTCTGATATTTGAGCAAGATATTTGTATGAATCTGTGATTTCAATTGCTTCTTGTATAATTACGAGTGGTACGATTGTTGGTTTTTCTCTTCTAAAATCAAAAATTATTTCCTTTGTTTTTGAGAGGTTCACTCACTCATAAAAAACTTGAATTGCACCATTAAAAAAAACCCCATACATATTTCTTCTAAATACTCTTTTTCATAGTATATGTATAATAAAATATATGCAAGTCATCTAAAAGTAATAAAATAATTAATTTTAACAATTGCATGAAAGATAGTGTCATTTTGTTAAGATTAGTGTTCTGATTACAAAATATATGCAATTCTTTCATAGATAGCACAGTTTTTGAATTTCTAACTTGGGAAATTATCCTTCCGATAGCCTGATTTCACTCTAATTTACGTAATTGTTAATGTTTCACCTTGAATGGAATACTTTGAAAACATGGTGTGAAATAGTATAGGTTTAATGACCATATCAACACACAAAAAATCATGAGTTTAACATCCATCTCCGAAAAGACCAGGCCAAATGGGAAATTGGTATAAATTGCCTTTCCCAAGGACACAAGGCTATCGGCGCCACGGAATACTTTGAGAAAATGAAGGTAAAAAAGTAAAAATAATTAATTTGTAGATTTTGGTGTCCATAAGTAGTTGTGTGACCTTAGTACCGAGCACCATTCTACCAAATGTAAGTAAAGTACTTGATAACACTATTTTTAAGTTAAAAAATGACCTTCATGCCATAGGATTTGAGATTTTGCACTGACTAGACTCAGATAAAATTTCGCTTTTAAATGCACAATAATTATACAGTGCCATCTAAAATGTACTTCTGTATGACAGCAAGAGCAGGAAACACACGTCATCAAAATGAAGTAAAACTGAATTTTTGGGTTGTTTTTTTTTTACCTTGCCAAATTGATTCTATCATCTGGTGCTTTTGTGTTTAGTAATAACAATAAACTGTGCAGCATTTTGAATTTTGTAATTAGCTGTTAGTCTTAGAGTAAACACACAGGAGAACGTTTGACATATAAATAAATAAATAAATTTAAAAAAAAAATCTCTAGCCGCGTGATTCAACTGCCCAAGTGCCAAGAGACAAAATTTTCAGGAGAAACAAAAAACTGTTTGATTTCTTTATGCTCATACCTATGAATCTGAAATTCACATATATAGGATATGATATAAGATGTAGGACGATGGTCTGTAACAAACCTTTTGGAAAAAAAAAAGCTTTCTTACACAAGTTACTGGACATAGGCGGTTTAGACCTACCAAAGTCTAAGTGATTCAACCGCCTAAGTGACAGTATGACGCGCCTAGGCGTTTGAATCTCATTAATCAACGCCATTCGAAGAGCGCCAATGGTCGCTAGGGCATTTGAGTAATCGGCAAAAGCAAATCATAATGTTTAAGGAGTAATTATAAAGTTAAGAGTAATTATTTCAGTTATTTGATTGGGTCTTCAGTAGAGGTGGGCGATTCCTGTTTTTTTTTGGTAACCGTAGATTCCCGAATATTAAAGGCTAGGAATCGTAGGAATCGGCGCCGAACCCAATTACTTTCTTTATAGCCAGTGATGTGATTTCTTCCAGTGGCTCTATGATTTCTTCCAGTGGTTTCGACCCGTACCCAGTATCATGTTTGTATATGCAGCGACTAGCAGTTAGCCCGACCCCTGCAATGACCTCCGGCGAGTAGCAATTAGTCCGACCCTTGCAATTACTCCCAGCTAGTCCGACACCAGCAATTATTTCCGCCGAGTCGCGATACCTATGACTACTTCCGGCGAGTAGCAATTACTCCGACCCCAGCAATTATTTCCGCGGAGTCGCGATACCTATGACTACTTCCGGCGAGTAGCAATTACTCCGACCCCAGCAATTACGTCCGGCGAGTAACGATTTGTCCGATCCCTTTGATTACTTGGAGTGGGAGGGCGCTACCCCAGGCACTACCCCACCCAATCTCTACAGTATGAAGTCAGAGACCAACACTGACCTACACCGAGAAATGACAGTCTATAATATAGAGCCTCGTGGGCAGACGTTACAGTTTTAGATTTTAAATTGAAAGAAAAGGGAATATTATTATAATTTAAAAACAACAACAGATGAATGAGAAAAAGGCGAAAGCAACGAATAAGTTTTGACACTGTATACTAGATCGATATAATCTTTGACAATGACTTTGCATCCCGACTACTCTGTCTTAAGTCTTCAAGATTCAGGATAACCTCGATTTCAGAACATAGCAAACCACAAACATTTTTTTTCTTAAAAAATACACATTCTTTGAAGAAAAAATAAAATAAAAATAGAGTAATTGAGAATCGTTAGTTTACGAAAAAGGGATCGGTTCTTTTTCTCAGAAGCAATAATCGCAGGAATCGGTTCTGGAATCGATTCTTGGCCCACCACTAGTCTTCAGGGGCAGGACTGTTTTCGGCCTCATGGAGAACGTAAAAAAATATCATTCATCTTAACGTTCAATTTGTACTTGATGTTTTTATTCAGTGTGTATCAAAGGAAACGAAGGTTTCCGACAACGGGGTTGCGTGGAGTTTGTTTTTCTGAATGGTCCAGAAATCGAACATCAAGGGGGGTGGGGTGGGTGGGGTGGGGGAGATATTGTCTTGCTTTCTTAAAAACGTTCAAGATTATCCATGAGCATGAAGACCATACGATTACACTGAGTGTGCTGTCCACTTCCACTTGCGTTTGTTCCTTTTGAAGGTATTTGTGTAAAAGTTTTTAAAAATCTGGTACACGTTTGACAAGATATCATTGTGGTCTGATCTGTACTGCCATGACTAGGGCTGGAGTCTGCTCGATTAATCGAAGGCTTGCGAGCAACGGACGGCTCGTGCCAGAGGCTTGCGAGCAGGCTTGAGCTTTGCCCGCTACCGGAGTTGCTACTCGTGGGCTACGGACGGGCTTACTGGTTTATGCCGTGACGTCACAAACTCTTGTTTACTGAGCGCGCGATACTTCTGCCCGCGTGCCGCACGCTGACAAGCCTTAAAAAACCCTCACACTTTCAGCGATGGCGCTATTTGGGGAGTGGAGGGGGTGGTAAGGCTGGGAAAGCGAGAGGTGATCGCCACCCTCTCGCTTTCCGTAGAACCCGCCCCTCCCCTTACGCCTCCTGGTGTGACAGGGTTTTATTTGTCTTGTTGTTTTTTTTTTTGTCTTTTGGTTCAGTTTTTTGTTGATTAAAAAAAATATTTTTTGGGTGGGGGGAAGGATTATGTTTTGCTTTATTGATTTTCTGGACGTAATTCGACATCATAATTAATATTTGTATGATAGAACATGCACAATACATACATAATATCAGTTACAGTGCAGCAAGATGTTTTTAAAAAAGTTATAGGCCTACAATGTAATTAACAATGTGATATAATTTACCTTAACAATGGTCTTCTGATAGGGAAGCAGTCAAATCAAAAGTTTTTTACATTGTTCAGAATCAAAATCACGATTGTCATCCCCTCTCTCCAATGCATTCTCTTCAACTTCAACTTGTTCTAAATGTCGGGGTGGGAGTGGAAGTGTAGTTTAGGCGAGTGATTAAATTACAAGCCACGGGATGCTAACAATACTGATTTATTTTGTCAGTTAAAAATTGTTTGTAAGTGTTCACACCTTTATTCTGCGTCCTAAATACCGCGACCCCAGTGCTTTCTTGTCGCATCTCCATTTTTAATACCAGTGAAAACAGCTCATAACAAAATGTGAGCCTACGAAGATGTCACATTTTCACTGTTAAAGCACCGAGGTCGTAAACGGTCTGCACTAGGCTATTACAGCATTGCACCAGAACCAGCGCAGCCTCTCGCTTCCTCCATGTCCAGAGTTCAGAGTTCACGCCGCGAGCGGGG